CCCGGGTGCCCGGGGGCTCTATAGCCCTAGAGCCCTATAGCCTCATAGCCCTATAGCCCAATAGACCGAAGTCCTAATAGCCCTGTAGCCCTATAGCTCAGTAGCCCTATAGCCCTAATAGCCCTATAGCCATATAGTCCTATAGCCCTATAGCCCTATAATTAGCCTCACAGCCCTATAACCCTATTGCCCTATAATCCTATAACCCTATCGCCCTATAGCCCCATAGCCTTGGAGCTCTATAGCCATATAGCCCTATAGCCCATAGCCCAAGCAAAATTCCCTACCTAGGCTCTGCCTAGAAGGGTTCTTACTCGGTGTGCTTAAAGGGCCGGGCAGTGGATCCCGCCCCGGGCGGTTCCCCCAGTATCCGCCCCGCGGTTCCCCCAGTTACGTCCCCTTTAGCTTAGCGTTGCTGATCTCATTTTAGCTTAGCATATCCAAGCATAGCATAGCATAGCATAGCATAGCATAGCGCAGCATATCATAGCATATCATGTCATATCATAGCATCGCATAGCATAACATATCATAGCATGGCATACCATAGCATATCATAGCGCAGCTTAGCATAGCATAGCATAGCATAGCTTAGCATAGCACATCGCATCATGACATATCATAGCTTAGCATCTCATACCATCTCATATCATAACATATCATAGCATAGCGCAGCATAGCATAGCATAGCATAGCGCAGCACAGCACGGCATAGCATAGCATAGCATAGCATAGCATAGCATAGCATAGCATAGCATAGCATAGCAACTAATGCTGCTTTCCTAGGGGCTCCAACTTCTAGGTCGGGTCGCACTGGGGTAATTATCCTGGCGAAAGGCCCAACCATTCGCAATTGTGAATACCGCGTTGTGGGTACCGCTGTCAGTGGAGCTCCATATGGGGCCACGAACCGTGTGAGGGGCGTGCCAAAATGGGTGGCGGGCGCATGCGCTGTGCCACTGGGGCCTTCGGTGGAGCTCCCCGTGGGGCCACGACCCGTGTGAGGGGTGTGCCAAAATGGGTGGCGGTCCCCGCATGCGGACCCTGCCTTGGGGCCTTTGGTGGAGCTCCCTGTGGGGCCACGAACCGTGTCAGGGGTGTGCCAAAGTGGGTGGCGGTCCCCGCATGCGGACCCTGCCGCTGGGGCCTCCGGTGGAGCTCCCTGTGGGGCCACGAACCGTGTCAGGGGTGTGCCGAAGTGGGTGGCGGTCCCCGCATGCGGACCCTGCCGCTGGGGCCTCCGGTGGAGCTCCCTGTGGGGCCACGCACCGTGTGAGGGGTGTGCCAAAATGGGTGGCGGTCCCCGCATGCGGACCCTGCCACTGGGGCCTTCGGTGGGAGCTCCCTGTGGGGCCACGAACCGTGTGAGGGAGAGAGAGAGAGAAGCCGTGCACGTCAGAGGTGCATTGGCAACAAAAAGGGTGTGAAACCACGGCGAAATGCGATGCGAAGCCACCGGCGTCGCTGGCTCCATGCACAAGGAAGGCTTGCCAATCTCGTTATTTTGCAATTCCTCCCTAAAATCAACCAGACAAATCAGCATCATAAAACTCGCACACCAAAAACAATCACAAAACATCAGAAAAACTCGCATCAATAACAATCACAAAACAATCACAAAACATCACCAATAACAAATCAGCATCAAAAAACTCGCACACCAAAGCATCATAAAACTCGCACACCAGACAAATCAGCATCATAAAACTCGCGCATCATAAAACTTGCACAAGGCGTGCAACGCTTCCTCGCCGCCGGCCGTCTGACAAGCAAGGTCGTACACCTGAAACTTCCACGTGTTGCGGGGCCGCCCCCTGCGGCGAGCCCCAGCCTGCACGAGCTCGAAAGTGCCGGGTTGGAAAATGCACCTGCGCACGGGGCTGTTCCCTGGCATCAGTGCAATTTTCCCCAGGAGTTTCAACTGCCTGCGCGCCAGTACGTAGCTCAGCTTCTGAGCGCCACATCGCTGTAGAACAGTTTCGTTGCTAATGCGGCTTATGTACGAGTGCTTGATGCCCGAAATCCGGCGCAGGCAACGCACCTGAAAAGCGTCAATCCTGCCGCGCTCTGCTTTGTTAAGCCAAACAGTGTGTAAACACTATAGCAACTTGGATGCTACACACGCGTCAAAGACTGCTAGCTTTTGTCGAGGGACAATCGCGCGTGCTTCCACAATTTGCACGGCGTCTCAAAATCGGCGCTGGCCATGCCTAGCCGGCGGCTGAGTTCAGGCCCGCTCCGACCTGTGGAGCTCAAGAGTCCTCCTAAGTAGACCATGCTGTCCCTGCTCGGGATGAGGGCGCCGTCTGGCTTCGTCAAGGCAGTCTCGCAACAGATAGGCAAAGCTTCCAGCTTGCTCCAGTTGAAGGCAAGCCCGTAGTTGGACCCCGCGCAGTGGATCGCCCCCATCAGCCTGGAAACATAATCATCACTGACTCCAACGACAAGGGTGTCGTCGGCGTAGATGAGTTCACTAACGGGTATCCGGGCGTCTTGTGTCATGCCGTGTGCTTGGAAAGCCCGGCTCGCATCGTGCGTGAGGACCGTCATGACGATTGAGAACAGGAACGGCGATAGCGGGCAGCCTTGGCAGACGCCGAAGGCTTGTGGCCATGGCCCGGACGTTTGGCCCGCCTCCCTCACTCGAAAGGATCTGTCCGTGTAGATGGCCCGAACTGCCTCTGCGAAGTGCCCGGGGGTGCCGAAGCGGACGAGCGCCTGCACCAGGGCGGTCGGCGAGACGCTGTCAAACGCCTTGGCCCAGTCCAGCGCCAGCAGGACCAGCTTGCCAGAGCGAGAACTCCAGGTGTCTTCAATCAATCTGCGAGCAACGATCAGTGCGTCCGTGGTGCCGCGTTTTGATCGGAATCCGAACTGCGTGTCCCAAATTCTGTCTTCGGCACCTGCGTTCTTCAAACGGCCGAGGAGAACCATGGCGTACAATTTGTACCCAATCGGAAGCAATGATATTGGCCGATAATTGGCACACTCGGCCGAGTCGCCTTTCTTGAACAGCGCGATGACGACTGCTTCGTGCCACGCATCCGGCACGGCCTTCTCGGTCCAGCACTTGTTGCAAATCAGTGTAGCCCACTCGAGAGCTGATGTACCTGGCGTGCAAATAGCCTACCTGGCGTGCATAACCGTGTGAGGGGTGTGCCAAAATGGGTGGCGGTCCCCGCATGCGGACCCTGCCACTGGGGTTTTCGGCGGAGGTCCCTGTGGGGCCACGAACCGTGTGAGGGGCAGGCCGAAATGGGTGGCGGTCCCCGCATGCGGACCCTGCCGCTGGGGCCTTCGGTGGAGCTCCCTGTGGGGCCACGCACCGTGTGAGGGGCAGGCCGAAATGGGTGGCGGTCCCCGCATGCGGACCCTGCCGCTGGGGCCTTCGGTGGAGCTCCCTGTGGGGCCACGCACCGTGTGAGGGGCAGGCCGAAATGGGTGGCGGTCCCCGCATGCGGACCCTGCCGCTGGGGCCTTCGGTGGAGCTCCCTGTGGGGCCACGCACCGTGTGAGGGGCAGGCCGAAATGGGTGGCGGTCCCCGCATGCGGACCCTGCCGCTGGGGCCTTCGGTGGAGCTCCCTGTGGGGCCATGAAAGGCTGTCCTGGGTGGCGTTGACGCATGCAGCCTATGCCACTGGAGCCTTTGGTGGAGCTCCCTATGGGGCCACGAAACACTGTCCTGGGTGGCGTTGACGCATGCGGCCTGAGGTGGATGGGAAGAGGTAGGAGGGGGAGGAGGAGGAGTGAGGAGGTGACGCAGGGCGCTGTCTCTTCAAAGCGAGGACCCAACACCACAGGATGGTTGGGAAAACTCGGACTGTTTTTTTGTTTCTCGGGTATCATATGACATTTATTTGGGTTAAGTATGAGTACATGGAACACTTCATTTATACATGCGGACACACATACCTCTCTCTATACAGGTATGTATGTATGCATGCATGCATGCATGCATGCATGTAGGTATGTGTATATGTTTGTGTGTGTATGTGCATATGCAATGTATTTATACAGTATGTATGTATATATGTATATGTTTAAGTATACGTATATGCATAGATATATGTATATGTCGATGTCTATGTCTATGTCTATGTCTATGTCTGTGCAACTGTATATGTATATATATATATGCATCTGTATATGTACATGTATATATGTATATGTATATGCATATGTATATGTATATGTATATGTATATGTATATGGATATGTATATGTATATGTATGTGTACGTGTATATGTATACGTATACGTATATGTACATGTACATGTATATGTATATGTATATGATATGTATATGTATATGTATATGTATATGTATATGTATATGTATATGTATATGTATATGTATATGTATGTATATGTATATGTATATGTGTGTATGCATGCATGCATGCATGCATGCATGCAGGCAGGCATGCATGCATGCATGCATGTATGTATGTATGTATGTATGTATGTATGTATGTTGTGCATGTGTGTTTGTATAGCTGTAATGCATGTATGTATGTATGTATGCATGTATGATTGTATGACTGAATGAATGTATGACTTTATGTATGCACGTATGCATGCATGCATGCAGGTAGGTAGGTAGATATGTAGGTATGTATGTATGTGTATATATATGTATATCATTGGGGGTAGGGTGGGGTGGCTGTTGAGGGCGGGCGGCGCACGAGTAGCTGCGTGAATCAACTATGTCTGTACACATTGTGCCAACAGTATGGGACACACTTACTTTGCAGCATTACGCGCATGATGTTATTACATGGTTACATGGTGTTTCTTTCATGATTTGAACCTCGTGTATTTGTTACGTGGGAGGCAAGCTTTGCGTTAAGGCGCCCGTCGGGAAACGCTGCTGCTCAGCGCGCCCATTTCGCTTCTGGACGCCGATTGGCCGTCTCGGACCCTCACGAGGTCCAAGAGGCCAACATTATTGACGTTCCCCATGTTTCCGATGGTTTTTGAGGTCCAGGTAGGGTGCGATGTGGCGTGGCGACGGAGGGGGGAATGTTGGAGGGGTGCACGATCACATTTGGTGATAAGCGGTTCAGGGAAAACGCTTCGCTCCCGGACGTGGATTCCTTTCGATTCGCTCCCGGACGTGGATTTCTTTCGATTCGCGGTGTGCACGTCCAGACGGTGTAGCGCTTGTGCATTGGCCGGTCTGCGCCGCTCGTCTGCCATATGCTGGTTTGCTGCGCCGTTCTGCCGTCCCGGAGGCTTCGCGGGGGTCTCTGAGGTCTTCTTGGCGGCCTCCCGGGGGCGCGCTCCTGGACGGGGGTTTCCTCTCGCTTCGCGGGGTGCGCGTGCAGAAGGTGTAGAGTATGTGCGCCTGAGGCCCTTCTGGGAGCCCTTTGGAGGCCTACTGGGGCCTCTTGGGGGCATCTCGGGACCTCTTGGGGGGCCTGTTAGGGCCCTTGGGGGCGTCTTGGGTCGTACCTCGGGCGCTCTTGGGGCCATACGCCTGCGGAAACCGTCTTGTGGGCTTCTCGCGGCCGTCTTGGGGGCCGTCTTGGGGCCCTCAAGACCGTCGTGGTGGTCTCGTGTGCCGTCTTGGGGCGGGCCGTCGTGGGGCTACCTTGGCGGCCCATTGGGCCTCCTTGGAGCTCTCTTGGGCCGTCCTGGGCCCTCCCGGGGACCTCTTGGACCGTATTTGGGGCCCTCTTGAGTGCCCGTGGGTCCGTTCTGGGGGTCTCTTGGGCTGCTTTGGCGCCCACTTAGGCCGCCTGGGAGCTTTCTCGGGGGCCTCTTGGGCCACCTTGAGGCCCTCCTGGGCCGTCCTGGGGCCCTCTTGGGGGCTTCTTCGGCCGTCTTGTGTCCAGCTTGGAGGCCTTTGGGGCGGTCTTGTGGTGTCGCAAATCTGAGAAGGCGAGAACGTTAAACTCGCTCAGACATTATAAGAACATCTAGGGGGTCCTCTTAGAGCCCTCTTGGACCGTCTTGAGGGCCGCTTGGGCCGTCTTGGGCGCCTCTCGGGCCCTCCTTGGTGCTGACTTGGAGCGATGGCTGGTCATCTTGAGGCCCCTCAGAGCCGCCTCGAGGCCCTCTTCGACCACTGAGTATCGTTTGAGTTTTCCCCTAACCAGTGCTTGCATTCAAGGGTTCTCATGTGTCTTCTGACGAGCTGGCCCTGGTTGCCTGTTCCGCCGCCTTGGGGTGGCCCCCGTCGCCGCCCGTCGCCGCTCGTCGCCGCGCCTCGCCGGGGCCCGGTTGCTGGTTCCGTCGTCTTGTGGTGGCCCCGTGGCCGCCCGTGGCCGCCTCCCGTCTGCTCAGCACAGATGGCACCACACATGTCGCTTAACGCAGGTTGCGTCACAGAGCCTGCACCACACGTGTTGCACAATGTAGGGTGCTTAAGATAGCTTGCACCACACAGCTCACACCGCATCCACTGCACCACCACAGCGCGCACCGCACGGATTGCACTGCACACCACATAGCTCAAACCACATAGGTTGCCCTGCAAATATTGCACGACTCTCGCTCGCACCACATAGATTGCACTGCATACCACGCAGGTTGCGTTGCGTAGATTGTACCACTTAGGCTGCACCAAGTAGCTTACAGCTTACACTACAGTTTGCAGGACAATCACAGTTTGAGATCCACGCTGGCTAATATAGCGCATTTCTCATCCCTGGAATGGGTCTACCATGTTGTTTGACGGATATAGCGCGACTCCAGTGAGAGGGTAAAGGGGTGTTACATAATCGTGATAAGCAGTGAGATGGTAAACGGGGTGTTGCATAATAGTGGTAACAAGGTACACCATAATCAAACATGTATAGATCTGCATGTCAGCTAGCGTGTAGCACGAACAGTTTTGCAGTCTATGTGGTGCAATCTAGGCTGTGCAATCTATGTTGTACAAGTTTTGTGGTACACTACATGTGGTGCAATAAATGTGGTCCAAAATATGTTGTGCAATCTTTGTTAAGCAATCTATGCGATGCACTTTATGTTGTGCAATCCAGGGTGGCGACGAGGCGGCGACGGCGGCCACGTAGCCGCCAGACCGAAGGCACGGCCCAGAAGACGGGCGGCGACGAGGCGGCGCCGGGACGGCGACGGCGGCCTCATAGCCTCCAGACGGAAGGCACGGCCCAGACGACGGGCGGCGACGAGGCGGCGACGGGGCGGCGACGGCGGCCACTTAGCCGTCAGACCGAAGGCCCGGCCCAGACGACGGGCGGCGACGAGGCGGCGACTTGGCGGCGACAGCGGCCACATGCCGCCAAACCGAAGACACGGCCCAGTTCCTTAGAAAAGAAGTGAGAATTCCTAAGTGCAAGGACTGTTTAGGAATTCTTGAACACGGGATATGCTGAATTATAGCCTTCGCGGAAATGTATCCAGCAGTACGTCGTTTCCAGACGTGGATCATCAGGCTGATGCTCCACCAGCTGGCCTATCGATACTCTTCGGACCTTAATTGGGTCTTGCAGGCGTTGGGCCGTCTTGGCGGCCTTCCAGAGGCTTTGTTGGGCCGTCTTGAGGCCATCATGTGGAACATGTCCGCTGGGGTTCCCAAAATCTGCGACGTTGGGCCCGGTGGAGGGGACTGTTGGGGGGGAAGGGTCTCACATGCGTGGTGGCCCACGGGGGGCTGGCGCACTTACACGCAGGTCGCAGCGGGTGGCGCTCACACCGTCTTGTTGTGGAGCGACGGGACAGCCGCGGCCTGCGGCCGCAATGACGACGGGCGGTGTGACGTCCCGGCGCTGAGCGGAGGCCTGACTTACACGCAGGTCGCTGCGGGTGGCGCTCACACAGTGTTGCTGAGGAGCGACGGGGCAACTACGGCCTGTGGTGGGAACGCCGACGGGCAGTGCCGCGTCCCAGCGCTGGGCGAAGGCCTGACTTACATACAGGTCGCTGCTGGTGGTGCTCACACCGTGCTACTGAAGAGCGACGGGGCAGTAGCGGCCTGTGGCTGGAATTCTCATGGGCAGTGCGACGTCCCAGCGCTGAGCGGAGGCCTGACTTACACGCAGGTCGCTGCGGGTGGCGCTCACACCGTGCTGGTGAGGAGCGACGGGACAGTAGCGGCCTGCGGCCGCAACGATGACGGGCGGTGCGACGTCCCAGCGCTCGGCGGAGGCCTGACTTACACACAGGTCACTGCGGGAGCTGCTCACACTGTATTGTTAAGTCGGGCCCGTCCCTCTACAGGAGGAACATGGACAAATAATGAGAAATAGTCTTGGGACAATTATTTTGGAGTATTGTTGATCATTTTTCGGTTATCTTTTGCTTTTCACCCCAAGTCCGCCTGTAGGAGGACATGCCCGACCTAACTGTATTGCTGAGGAGCGACGGGACAGCCGCGGCCTGCGGTCGGAACGACGACGGGCGCTGCGGCCTCCCTGCCCTTCCGCAGTCCCGGTGGACGGACTGGTGGCCGTGGCGGCGCGCCCGCCTCCGCTACGCGACGTGCGCCCTGCCGCCGAGCGCCCTGCCCGTGCTGGTCCTGCAGGCGCTCTTCGACGGGGCCTCGGTGCAGTTTCTGACCCTGGGCGGGGAGGAGTTCGACCGAGTCCCGGCGGGGCCCGCCGAGCGCCTGGCGGACGTGCGCGCCCGCCTGCGGGCCGGGCGCCTCGCCCGGCTGCTGGGCTCCACCTTCTCCGCGGCCGACGCCGTGCTGCCCGGGGGCGAGCTGCTGAGCCGAGCCCCCCCGGAGGAGACGTGCGCCGTCGCGTTCGCGCACGCGGACTACGGTCAGGAGGAGAAAAAACACACAGAGACACAATTAATCGTCGATTCCCGGGAAAATATAGGAAAATATGGGGAATATTTTTGTTTGTGTGTATTTATTTGTGTGTCCTGGGGCCCCTTTATACGGTTGACCGCTGAGTCAGCGCAGTTATTGAAGCCCTGCAGGTCGGCACGTGATCCACTGGCGTCCAGTCTTTGTTTTGGCCAGCAGTTTCTCAACCAGCTTGTGTGTGGAAGCTGGCTCAACTTTGCACCGCTGTTTCAGGTCAGCTCGGCGTTTGATGAGGAATCCTTTACGCTTCCTCACGGGCGCAATGAGGAACCAGCCCGGCGCCCTGTGTAGGGGTCTCTTAGACCCTTTGCGCGGATTGGGTTTCCTTCCTCTTCCTTCCCTCCCCCAGCCCCTCCTCGGGACTGGTCCGTTCTGGCCTGGACTGGATCATCTTGGTCTGGTCTGGCCTGGCCTGCTTGGTCTTGTGTCATCTGGCCTGGTCTGCGTGTCTGGTCTGTATGGTACGGTCTGGTCTAGAGGGGACGGAGTTTCGAAGACGAGGAGAGGAAATTAATGACGAGGGGTGGGCAGGATGCGGAGGAGGATGAGGCGGAGAAGGAGGAATAGTAGCGGGAGGACCAGGAGGGCGAGGAGAGGATATGATAATCGGGGATCAAACGAATACATAAACATAAAAAATCGGAGGTCCGTGCGGATTTCTCGGATCGGCGTTGGGGCCTCCTGGCGGCGCCTCTGGCGCCGCCTCTGGCGCGCTCCGCACGCCAGGGATGGGGGTCAGCGCCGATCCGAGAAATCCGCGCGGACCTCCGAGTCTTATGTTCATGTCAATCTTCGTTCCCCTAGATAAGGAGGAATAACAAAGGGGGAATGAGGAGGACTAGGAGGAGTAGGACGAAGGGGAGCACAAGGGGACCCGGAAGAGCCGGAACATGAACGAGAACATCAAGAAAGTTGTGTCGCGCTCTAACGGGTGTTATCTTGGGATTCTCTTCGAAGCTTGTGGGGGACGTTTGGGGGCGTCACGGAGGCCTCTCGGAGACCTCATTGGCCATTTTGCAGGCCTCTTCTGCGATCTTGAGGCCTTCCTGGTTACGAGGGCCTGCTCGGGGCCTCTTGAGAGCATCCGGAGGGCCTCTTCGGGGCCTCTTGTCGGCCTGTTTGGGGGTTTCTTGGCCGTCATAGATACCTCTTAGGTTAGACTAGGGTGCCTCCGCGCGGAGTCTTGGGACATTTTGGCGGCCTCTTCGGCTTTCTCGGAAGCCTCCCTTGAGGGGAAAAACGGCATCGGACAGGGCGGGAAGTGGTGCCCAAGCCTCGTACCTTTCGGGGACGTGTTCGAAGGCGAGCGACTCCGAGAAGCTTCTTCGTGGGCTGACGTCATCGTGATCCCCAGCGCGCGAGGAAGTGGGCCCCAACCGCGCCGCCTGACCCTGCGTGTGGAGGAGTCAGCCTCGTCTGGTGAATCTGGCGACGAGTTCCGAACTGGCGTCTTCTCGTGCCATTTTCCCGCGAAAGCGGCACTCGCCCCATCCTTCTGCCAGGGGTTGGGGCATTTCCAGCGCAGTTTCCATGTGTGGGCGAGTAAGCGGGCCAGTGAGACCAAACGAGGACTAGGTCGGGGTGAGTGAGTGGTAGTGGCAGTGCGTGATGTGAAGGAGCGAGAGCGAGCGGGTGAGTGAGTGCGCGAGGAAGGGGGAGAAGGGGGGAGAAATAGAGACATCGACAGAGAGAGAGAGAGAGACCACACGCATATATATATATATATATATATATAGTATGTACATATATGTCTATCCGAGTGAGGGGGCCGAACGGTCATTCACTGTCCCTGGGTGCGTAGTCGAAATGAGGTTCTGCGGTGCGGATTGTTGTTGTTGTTGTTGTTGCTGTTGCTGTTGTTGTTGTTGGTGTTGCTGCTGCTGCTCCTGTTGTTGTTGCTTTTGCTTTTGTTGATGCTGCTGCTCTTGTTGTGGTTGTTGTTGCTAGTGTTGCTTCTGCTGCTGCTGCTGCGCTGCGTTGTTGTGGTTGTGGTCGTGGTCGTGGTTGTGGTTGTAGTTGTTGTTATCGCTGCTGCTGTTGTTGATGTTGTTTTTGTTTTTTGTTTTTTTCGCTGTTGTTGTTGTCGTGGTTGTTGTTGTTGTTGTTGTTGTTATTGTTGTTGTTGTTGCTGTTGCGGTTGTTGTTAGTGTTGTTGTTGTTGTTGTTGTTGTTGTTGTTGTTGTTGTTGTTGTTGTTGTTGTTGTTGTTCTGTTGTTGTTGGTGATCTGATTATTCTGACCATCAAGATGGTGATGGGAGTAATGCTGCTGCTGATTCGGGTGATGATGATACTGATGCTGCTGCTGCTTATGATGATGATGACGACGACCACGCTGATGCCCATGATGATTCTGACGATGACGATGCTGATGATGCTGATGGTGATGACGGGGCTGATGATGCTGCTGATGACGATGATGTTTGATGTTGGTACTGATGTAGATGACGATGATGCTGACGATGCTGGTTTGCGATGTGTTAGTTCCGACGACGGTGATGATCATACTGATGATGAAGAGGAGGATGAGGCTGGCGATTGTGATGCAGACGATGATGATGAGGGTGGTGATGAGGATGAGGAGGATGAGGATCATGTTGATGATGGTGATGAAGATGATGACCATGATGGTGTAGCTGCTGATGATGCTGATGGAGAGTTGTCGCCGTCGTCGTCACCGCCGTCGCCGTCGCCGTCGCCGTCTCCGTCGTCGGACCTTCTGAATGCGCTTTCGCGCTCTCGCCTAGGCGCTGGCTGCATTTCCTATGAAAAGGCTCGCGCTGAGGTGTTTCGGGGGTGCGCCCAAACCGCCCCCAACAACAACAATGCTCTGACTCGATACTTCCTCATTTCTCATTCGGGGCCGGGGCTCTTGTTCGCCCCCCAAAGCAGCCTTTCCAACAAAATCGGCGCTCCCACTCGATACTTCCCTGCCTTTTATCTCGGGTTCGGCGCTCCCGCTTGAGGACCCCCTTCAAACAACGTCGCTCTCACTCGATACTTCCTCCACTTTTACCCAAGATTCCCAGGTGGCCCTGAGGCTTCCCAACTCCCAGTTGAACCTTACTTAGCAAACAATTGATTTCGCGGGACACCGGGAATGCGCTATCGCGCTCTCGCGCCTGCTCCGCGCGATCTCGCTCTCGCTCGTTTCCTGGACCGTGGCGTCGTCGCCGTCGCCGTCGCCGCCACCGCCGCCGCCGCCGCCGCCGCCGTCGTCGTCGTCGTCGCCGCCGCCGCCGTCGTCGTCGTCGTCGTCGTCGTCGTCGTCGTCGTCGTCGTTGTCGTCGTCGTCGTCGTGCTCTGGAGGCCGTCGGGGGCCTGGAACTCGTGGAGAGAAACCTAGGACCAGGGACATTCCCCTTGCACTTACGTAGGCGTTCTTACTTCGCTTAACCGTTTCGTGGTGAATGGCGGATTTTGCGGGCGGTGCCGCCCGTCGCCGCTGTCGCCGCCGTCGCCGTCGCCGCCACTCGGGGAGAGCGGCGGCTTTTGCGGGTGGTGCCGCCCGTCGCCGCCGTCGCCGTCGCCGTCACATACATTTTGTTTTCTAAAAGAGTATTATGATCCCCCCTGGACTTAACGGTGCATTTTGTCGTGTTGCAATGTACATGTGATTGTGCCCCACCGTCCATCCTAAATATGAACTCGTACCATTCCAGGCACACACTTGTTTACCAAAATCATAAGTTTTCAAGACTCCCTTGTAAACCAACTGGACGACGTGCACGCGCGCGCGTCGTCGCGCGCGAATGTTGACATCTTTCAAAACATCAGTTTTCGTATGGATTTCAAAATCGGGCCGAACCACATTTTGACCATAATGGGGTTCGCTACACGGTAAAAAAAACTGGCGCGGGCGCTCTTGCGAATTCTTCACACAATTCGATTTCTACACGTATTCATAACATGCTACCACGCGGGATTCGCGCGCGGGCATGTCGAATTTGTTCGAATTCTCGCGCACGCGCGAAAACCCATTGCAACAACATGGTGCGAAGTGCGCGCGCGCGTCGTCGAGCGCGCATGCCGGATTCTTTCAGCAACCTTGAGTTTTCGCCAGGATTTCAAAACCGAGTGTCCCGAAACCATAAAATTTCATCTGGTTTCGCAACATCAGTTTTCATAGAAGCTTGCGGTCGCTTTCTGGCGAATAGTTACGAAAACCACTGGTTTTCAACGTGTTCATGGAATTCTGCCAAACGGACCCTCCGTTCCGCCTGCCAAAATCATTCGAGCGCCCTTGCGCGCGTGCTGGGGGGGGGGGCACGATCCGCGTCAAATGGTGCCATTCGGCCAATCTCGCGCGTCGACCGCGCGCGCGCACGTCGAACTCTCTGCAAAACCTCCATCGCCGACGCGATGACGCCGTCATCGTCGTCGGCGCGATCATCATCGGCCCCGCCACTGGCCGTGCCGTCGTCGCTGCCAGCATCGTCGCCAGCATCGCTATTATCATCGCCGTGTCTACCGTTGTCGACGTTGCCATGGTACCGCGCCCGCCCAAGACGCCGACTCGCAGTGAAGTGCCCGTTGAGATGTGCCCAGCAATCAGCGCCGCCGCGGCCGCGTCGGTCGCGCCAAACTAGCTGGCCGCTGCGCGCGTGCGCGTGTGCGGGCTGGCGCGGCCGCAGAGATGCACGTGCCAGCGCCAAATTCTCATCGCAATCGCTTCGGCATGGGATTTGCTAACCAAGTTGCGGGTAGGTGGGTGGGACGTTTGCGCGAACACTGGAGTGGGCAGTTTCAAGTTGAACAAGTGATTGATTGCACCGCATAATTTGCTCCACGTAAGTTGCACCGCGTAGTTTACATCACACAGGTTGCATCGCGTGTGTTACACCGCGTAGAGTGCACGGCGTACAGTGCATTGCATAGGTTGCGCCGTTTAGATTCTCCTTTCTCAAAAGGTGATAGGTTCCACCACCCTCACCCCCAGGGGTTAAAGAGTCACCTTTTCGTATC